CTCTCCTCCCTGGGACGCGCCAGAATCAGCAGCTCAGGGGCATGCCATTTCTGTGTGCTGTGAAGTTTGGACTGGCCATCACTGTGACCCAGGACTCTGGGTCAGCCCAGCCTCCTGCAGGGGGAGGAGGAGGGGGAGGGGGAGGGAGTGCTCTGGGAGTTGCCTTCCCCACTTCCCAGCCTTCCTACCCTGCCTAGACCCTGTACTCAGGCCTATCTCCAGCACTGAGGTGGCTCCCCCCTGGAGGAGTCCAACCCTGCGGGGCCCCAGGATCTGTCTGAGCCCCCTCGCTTCTGGTCGGTTCAGTATGTTGGCAAGGCCGCTACTGTGTGCCCCTCCGACCTAGGATTTTGCTCCAGAAACTGTGGCAGCCTTGCTGGGAAGCAACCCCCCTCTGACTCCCCAATATACTACTGTAAAAGAATTACATAGAATGCTTTATCTCCATGGTCACAATAGAGGGTGGGCTGAAGTTCTTTCTAGGCAGAAGTAATCTTGACCTTTGGAAGGCCCTTAAATTCTTCCTTTCTTTATGTAAAATAGGATTAGGCCAAAACTGGCCCAGGACACCTCTGCCCTCTCCAAGTGAAATAGATAAATATATTAGGATTCCTCAAATTAAGTTTTAGATCCCTACAAAACCGTATAAGTATCATTCTTTATTAAGATCCTTAAGAACTAATATCTATACTTGAGATTTTCTTTTCTCAGCACCATTCCCGGTAATCACAAGATGGCTGCTGCGCCGCATCAGCTGATAATCATCTCTGCTTACCGGAACCGCTTTCCCGAAACTGCATTCCATAGAGATCCACCTACAATTGCGGAACTGCACTAGACCCACCCTTAATCCAACCCTGAATAGAATCTATGTTCCCTATTCTTAAAACTTTATGAGCTGATAATTGAAACACTAGCCCCTCTCCCTTTACTTGCATGTAACACATTTTCAATAAAAAGGCACGATAATTCCTAACAGTTGTCACTCCTCAGAGAGCGATCTTTGAGGGGTGTCCGACATAGGACGTGCATGAAAAGGCATCGAGGCCTCTGCCTTCTGTTCACCTTCGCCGCCTCCGTCGAGATAACCCACCCACGCCGAGGCTGGTCCCCGGCACCCCCCCACTTCTGCCACCGTGCCACTGCCCTGGGGAACGTGGGTTCATCTAAAAGCCACAATCTTGGGCCAGCAGGTAGTGTGGAAGTGAAGGTGCTGGACTGCACATGGCAGACTCTGTGGTTCAAGGCCCAGACCCGGCAGCTTGACAAACATGCCAGGCACAGGCCCGTGCCCCAAGTCCTGAGGAGCCTGGAGAAGGAGTGTAGCGTGTCACCCCCCCGGGGTGCTTTCTCACTTTCCCTTTCCCTCTGTGTCTCTGGTAAGCAAACTCCCTATAGCAAAAATCTACAAAACAAAACGAAGCGACAGTCCTATCCCAGGAAACTCGTGTTTCTGGTCGCCCTCCCTTTCACGTGGTCTTGTGTTGATGTGGCGGGCCCAGGACAGTTAACTTTTCCCACTGCTCTCCCCTCCCTCAGCCAGAGCTCCTGTTCACACGTGTGTGCATGCGGGCATGCGCATACTATGTGAGACACACATGGCCACACACACACACACACCAAACCCATGCAGGGGTCTGCACACACATGCTCACATTTGAGCATTCACACGAACACGTGCACACACAATTCCCACAATCGCTCATGCATGCACACCATGTGTGCACACAGATGCACAAAACACACACATGTGCACACATGCTCCCTGGAGTATCCAAAACTCTTCCCTCAGAGCGAGTCCTGCCCCACAACCCCCAAGAACAGCGGCAGGTACTGGGAAGCTGGGTCCGGACCCGCACTCCTGCAGGCTGCTGGCCTCGGGTGAGGGCACGGGGGCCCAGCCGAGCTTTCCATGCATAGCACATGTGCTCCAGGGCCAAGAACTCCCGCTGGTGTGCTGGTCACCATGATGAGAGCCCATGAGCGTCGCCCCTCCGTGGAGCCAGGAGAGGAGGTTGGGAATGAGGTGACTTGGGGCATTTCGTGGCCTCTGCAGCCGCTCCAAGTGTGGCAGGGAGCTGGCCCCGGGGGTGTGCATGCTCACTATAAATAATGGCAGTGACAGGTCCCCTGTCAGGCCGGCTGACGGACGGCCTCTCTCCTGCCATTACAGCCTTGTGAGTGTGGGAAATTAATTTACGTGGTAGTTAATTTCTAATGAATTCCACCCAAGCGGTTAATATGGTCCCTTGGTGTTATGGTAACCTTCACGGATCACTGCATTATGTAAATAAATTCCGCTTTATGCTGGTTTATTAAAAAAGACAGCGAAGGTTGGGGAGCCTGGCCAAACCTTCTCTGCACAACACAGAACTAACACATGGTGGGGAGCCTTGGCAAGGAGGCTGCCCGGTCCGCAGGGACTTCTCCCTGTCCACTCTTGGGTGGGCACGAAGGCCCTCAGGGCTCGAACCAGCTCTTTGCAAATCCGCCATCGCTGTGTTCTGAGAAAGGAGGCGGCTTTCTGGCTGGAACCCAAGTGGCCTCGGTGGTGCCTCTATAGGGACCTGCTCTGACTGGCGGGTTAGGGGCCACCCTCGGGGTAGCCCTGGTGCGCGGGCCAGTTCAGATCCCTGGGTCATGCACTGGCCTCTGAGCACGGGCTGCACCGGGAGCCTGCAGGGCAGTCTGGGCTGGGAGGCCGGGGCTCTGGGGGCTCTTCACCTTGGGAGGCAGCAGGAGGGCAGGCATCAGAGCCCCCCTCGCCCTCCAGGGCTGGCTGTCAGGCACGGCAGGGTGGGCGCCCGAGTTCAGAGGAGCCCAGGTGACCCGCCCGTGGCACCTGGCGTCTGTGTGGAAGTGCCTCCTGGTAATCGGGAAGCTGTGGGCCCTTTCCGCCTTGCTGGCCTCTGGTGGCTCCAGGCCGGGACACACCTCTACCATGCAGCCCTGCAGACTCCCCAGGGTGGGCACCTTTTTCCCCTCGCTGCGGCCAACTGTTCTCCGGCCGCGCCCTCCTCAGGGTTCTGGGGCTCTGGCCTTGGCAGGCACCTTCTGTCCAGATGACTCAGTGCCACCAGCAAGCCACACCCCGGGCCGCTGCACTGGCCAGGTCATCCTAGCAGTTGCTGCTGGGTGGTGGCTATGGCTGGGCCTCCTGGCACCCATCTGTCTAGGGCCCAGGGGTTATGGATAGGACCCTGGGCCATGGGCTGGGAGCGCAAGGTTGTCCCTGTTGGAGTGCCAGGCTGGTGCTGGGGGTGGGTGAGTCCACCCCGACCTGTGTGGCCCACTTTATGTTTACAACCAGGCTGGGCACGGAGGGTGCGTAGGTGCAGGCTCGAACCACGTTCCCTGGCAGCTCTGCTGATCTGGGTTCTTTCCAGCCAGGCTTTGCGGTCACAGGCTCCTGGCAACACCCAGGTCCGAGCCCTCGGCATCTCGGGTGCCCTGCCTTTTCCCAGACTCCGATCTCCTGGCTGCCCGAGAACCAACTAGCGCAGCATCCAGCCCAGAGGTCCCCCTCCCACTCCTGGCTCCTGCCTTGTCAATAGTGCCTGCTTCTCGAAGTCTCGCCTCTGCACTCAATGTACTGCCACCATCCTGCAGGCCGTCCCTGGGTGTGGGTGTGTGGCTGCCGGGGCCAGCTCCACCAGGGACGCACCCTGGCGAAGGAAACGCACACAGCCCTCTCCCGAAGTCACAGAGGCCCAGGCTGGACTTCTGGCGTGTCCTGAGCTTTATAGCCCGGCCGCCAGCCACATACCATGCCCAGGAAAACCTGCTTTCAAACATGGCATGGGTCCGCTAGGGCTTTCACTGTCAGCCCACGGCTGCGCACAGACTCCACTTCCACAGGAGCCTACAGACTCCCCAGCCACCACCGTGCCACCCCGGTCTTCTCTCGGCTGCAGAACACCGAGTGCCACTGCTCTGAAAGCGCGGACTGCAGAGAGGCAAACACTACTGCATCCCAAAGCAAGCCCGGCAGCCACATTTAATCAGTACTCAAGACGCACCGGTGTGAACAAGGTCTCATCAAGGCTCACTCCTCCCCAGGAACTCCGAGAAGCACCCGGCTCAGAAGGACGGGACAGGACGCCTGAGAACTTGAGAGCTGCCCCCACAGCCCTTGCCCTCAACAAGGCTTTCTGATGGCGGGGGTTTTGTAAAACCAGCTGTTTTCCCCATCCAGTCTGGGCGCAGACGGCTTGCAGGAAGACAGAAACGGTTGCTCCCAGCAGGGCTGTGGCTCACCTGGGCGGACTGAGGCGGCCAGAAGCCTGGGGAGCTAGGTCACCGGGCCGGGCAGGCCTTGCACATGGCATTTCTCCGTCGGCTCCCCCAGGCGCCGGGCGCGCCGCCAGGGCGCGCGGCTACATCTGCCGGCGCCTGTGCCGGGGGGGGGTCTTTGG